CTCAGTTGATTTTTTCTTTCCTTCTAGTTATAGGAATTTCCACTCAGCCAACCTTCCAAGGTTCTGGGAGACGTCCGTTTAATTCTTTTACCTGTAATTTTTGAAGGTGGTTGTGTGAGGCAGCAATTTCCGGGTGTTTACCTATGCCCACCATCTTGGTTTCTCTTGGGCATTATTTCTTTAGGGTACATTTCTAGAAGTAGAATTGGATTAAGGAATATAAGCATCACTGACTCCTTTTGCCAAGTTATGTATTTATTTATTATTTATTTATTTAAATTTTGTTTTATTTCTTAAAGTATTACAAATGGTATTACATATGTCTCCTCCCCCCTCCCCCTTGACATTCCCCCGGCCTCCCCCACCTCCCAGTGTCTTGTGTCCATTAGTTATTCTTATATGCATGCATACAAGTCCTTCGGTTGATCTCTTACCCACCCCCCAACCCTCCCCAGACTTCCCACTGTAGTTTGACAGTCTGTTCAATGCTGCTCTGCCTCTGTATCTATTTTTGTTCATCAGTTTATAATGGTCTTTATTATCCATCAATGAGTGAAATCATGTGGTATTTTTCTCGGCTTCCCAGGGGCCGTCGCAACCTCACAGGGGCCGTCGCAACCTCACAGGGGCCATCCCAGCCTCACAGGGGCCGTTTCAGCCTCACAGGGGCCGACTCAGCCTCTCAGGGGCCGTCTCAGCCTCACAGGGGCCATCTCAGCCTCACAGGGGCCGTCGAAGCCTCGCAGGGGTCATTGCAGCCTCACAGGGGACGCCGCATCTCACATTGGGGGTGAAGGTGCGAGTCAGAAGCTCCTCTCGCTGTCTCTCCTGCTGCTCCCTTGCGTATTGCCAATGCTGGAAGTTTCTGAGAGCAGTCTGCAGGTGCTGGACATCATACTTTAACTGGTCAACACGAAGTTTGGCATTCTGTCTTTTGTTGGGCGGCTCTTTGCTGGACAAAATCTCCAGGTGTTCTTGGTGGCTGAATATCTGGTATGCTTGCTTGGATTTTGTTTTCTACTAAGTGCACAGACTGCTTGTCTGCCATCTCCCAGCGTCCCATGTGAGACTGGATCTGGTGGACCTGCTTGTGCGTTTGCTGGTACAGCGGTTCCATGTCGCTGGCCCAGCTGGGTCCGTTTCCGGCTTCCTCCGAACCTGATTCTGCTTCTTGCGTGTGTCCCTTATGTATGCAAGGAGTTGAAATCTACAGTTTGTTGGGTTAGGCTGAAAAAGCGCAGGTGGTTCCTTATGTGCCACTGGTACAGCTTGGGTGGGGATGTAAATTGAGTAGGGCCGGGTCTTCGGGAATCACCAGGGTGGAGCAAATAGTAATGGCGACTCCGCGTCTCTGCGTCCCTGAGTGCCGGTGAGCAGCTCTGCGAGAAAGCCACCCTCGCTCTCCGACCCACTGCAAGGCCGTCCCGCCTCTCCCCGTAGGGGTCTGGGACCTCAAAATCCCGCCCCAAACAAGCTCAGTGGATTCGAGAGTTTGTAACCCCTTCCGATTGAAAAAAACCGCGCATCCAGTTGCAGCCCACCTGGCACGCGACTCCGTAACTCTGTTCTTGGCGCCTCTGTACATCCTACTCAGTCTCCATGCTCTTCTTTCTTTCCTTCCAGTTGTAGAGCTTCCACTGGGCCAGCTTTCCCATGGTTCTGAATGATAGCTGTTTGTCTTATAGTTGGTAGGTTCAATGTTGTTGTGGGAGGCAGCATGCACAGGTCTGTACCTTGCGCCACCATCTTGGTTCTCCTATTTATTTATGTATTTAAAAATATATTTGTATTGATTTCAGAGAGGAAGGAAGAGGGAGAGAGAGATAGAAACATCAATGATGAGAGAGAATCATTGATTGGCTGCCTCCTGCACGCCCCCTACTGGGGATCGAGCCCACAACCAGGGCATGTGCCCTTGACTGGAATCGAACCGGGGGACCCTTCAGTCCACAGGCCGACACTCTACCCACTGAGCCAAATCTCTTAGGGCATGCCAAGTTATATTTTATGAAGTGTACTAATTTAAATTTCCATCTGTAGTCCACAAGAGTGCTCACTTCATCTCATCCTTCCAGCATTGTTATCCTTTGCAAAAAAAATTTTATAGTTTAAAAAATACCTTATTTTTCATATTACTGTTCTGATTATAAGTTTGAACTTTCTTACATTTATTAGCCCTTTATATATGAATTCATATATAAATTCAATTTTATCCTTTGTCCAGTTAACTTTTAACATCTACCTTAGTGTTTTTCTTATTCAACTATACTTTTGAATAGTAAATACTCCTCACATATTAAAATTGTTAAGCCTTTATCATATTTGTTGCCAAATACTTCTCCAAATTTTTATTTCCTCTTCAAGTTTTAATTTTTGACATACAGAAGTTTCAAATATTTTAATCTATAATTTCCTCTGTGTTTTTTGTTGCCTTTAACTCATATTAAAATCCAGTGATTAAGTAGATAGTCTCTTATTTTTGCTCTAATTCAATTAAAAATATACTTAACTTGTCAATTGTGATTTATTAGCTGATGTGGTTTATTTTGGTACATACTGTGTCATATTTAATTTGACCACTTTCCTAAATAGTTATATTTTCCTAGCTCCTTTTTCTGTTGATTTGTGATGCTATCTTTATATCTTTGATTCTTATTGAGTCTAATTTTTGCTTTTACTTTTCTTTTTTGCAGATCAAGGTTACTATGAGTATGCAAGGATAAGGTAAGACTACAGTTACAGTACTGTTTTTCCAGACTCGAACTAGTGGGCCAGCCTAGCTGGATGGGGCAAACTCATTCAGGGGCATCTGAAGTGAAAAGCTAGCTTGGGGTTTTTGAGAGGATTCCTATGTTTTCCCTTTGTCATAAAGCCCTTTTCTTTTCAAAATATATTTTATTGATTTTTTACAGAGAAGAAGGGAGAGGGATAGAGAGTTAGAAACATAGATGAGAGAGAAACATCAATCAGCTGCCTCCTGCACGCTCCCTACTGGGGATCGAGCCTGCAACCAAGGAATATGCCCTCGACCGGAATCGAACCTGGGACCCTTCAGTCCATGGCCTGACGCTCTATCCACTGAGCCAAACTAGTCAGGGCATAAAGCCCTTTTCTAATGACAATTCCTGAAGGAAACAGAAAGCAGAGGAAGAAAGTGATTAAGAAGTAAGAATGGGGGAGAATATTGAGATTCAGGAGAACTCTCCTTCTAGTAAGTGTTTTGCTTGTTTGCTAAATACTAGGTGTTACTTACCAGGTCTGGACCTTTGAGGGACTTGGGATTCTGCGTTGACAATTTCATATCATAGATTTTGTGAAGCTCCAGGTCAATGTATTCCACTCCCCTAACATCTAATTCAAACACAATAACTAGTGAAATTTCAAGAAAATGTCCCCTATTTTTTTAAAAAAAGTATATATATATATATATTTATATATATATATGACATATAAAATAGATGCCTCTTGAAAATAGATGTTTATTCTTGGTTTGGCTAAGATATAGTTAGAAGAGGTATCAGAATAGAATCATTAAAGAGAAAAAGCAAGGGTTCATATCAATGGTTCATATAGATGAGAAATAAGTAACACCAGATTTTATTTCTATCCACTCTTTTAATAAGTGAGTTAAACCATTCATATTTGTTATTATTATTTACTTATTTTGTATTTTCTATGTATTATGCATTCTAGTTATTGTTTTTCTCACCTCTTCTAGGCAGTAAACACTAGTTATTGTTTTTCTCACCTCTTCTAGGCAGTAAACACTGCTACTTTATTCTTTTGTAACACTTTGCAGTTAAAAAAATTTTTTGCCCCACAAGAATCCCGAGAAGTCGATAGTGTAGATATAACCAGCTAGATTACATTGAGAGAAATTATGTCACTTTCCCAAGGTTGTATGGAGGCTAAGCAGAAGAGCTGGTGGAGTGTTTACTGAGTGTTACCGAGTGTGCACTCAAAATAGCACATTACTCAAATAAATGTATCTGAGTGAGCAAACTCCTGTGGCTACATAGACAGTGAAATAGTTTACCTCCTAAGTGTTTATACTTTTAAAAAAAGACTGTTTAGAGAGTGTTTTTTAATGTTTTTGTTAAATTTTGATTATGATTATGATTATTATACTGCTTCTTGCTTTTGTTTTGGGTTAATTTGGTTTGATTTGATGAGGAAATTGTGCTATCTCCATTTATCTATTCCTGTCCCCATGCTCTAAAAAACTTTTCTTAGGGAAGTGTGCTGTGCCTGATTGTAATGAAAGAAAATATTTTCTGACTATAAAGCAAAATAGTTGAATGTAAAAGAGTATTTTTTAAAAAATATATTTTATTAATTTTTTACAGAGAGGAAGGGAGAGGGATAGAGAGTTTGAAACATTGATGAGAGAGAAACATCAATCAGCTGCCTCCTGCACACCTCCCACTGGGGGTGTGCCCGCAACCAAGGCACATGCCCTTGACCGGAATCGAACCCGGGACCCCTCAGTTCGCAGGCCGATGCTCTATCCACTGAGCCAAACCAGTCAGGGCTAAAAGAGTATTTTTTAAATATATTTTATTGATTTTTTACAGAGAGGAAGGGAGAGAGATAGTCAGAAACATCGATGAGAGAGAAACATAGATCAGCTGCCTCCTGCACATCTCCTACTGGGGATGTGCCCACAACCCAGGTACATGCCCCTGACCGAAATCGAACCTGGGACCTTTCAGTCCGCAGGCCGACGACGCTCTATCCACTGAGCCAAACCAGTTTCGGCTAAAAGAGTATTTTTAATAAAAGAAAAAAATCTGAATTACCCCATCAATTCAGACCTGAAATCTTTTCCATAATTGTTGCTATATAAACATATATTTATTACTTTGCACCCAAGGTAAAGATTTCAAAAACATTTTTAGCTAATGGGAAACCATAGGAGACTAATTATCAATGAAAACAGAGACAGCAATGTAGTCCTCGTTTAAAAAAAAAAATCTGCCTTTTGAGAGTTAAAATTCTTCAACGCCTGTGGACTCAAGGGTCCCAGGTTCGATTCCGGTCAAGGGCATGTACCTTGGTTGCGGGCACATCCCCAGTGGGGGGTGTGCAGGAGGCAGCTGATCGATCTCTCTCATCGATGTTTCTGGCTCTCTATCCCTCTCCCTTCTCCTCTGTAGAAGATCAATAAAATATTTAAAAAAAAAAAAAATCTGCCTTTTGAGAGTTAAAATTCTTCAACCACATTCTTTTTTTTCTGCGAAAGATCATGACTGGACATTTTGAGGTTATGCCATACTCCTGGGAAGCCTGTGTTAAGATGAGGCGATGTAGGCTGGAGATGTAGCTATGGTGACATGATGCACAATAAGTGAATGGAAAGGAGGTGTTAGATCTTCAACAGAATTGGAAAATGTTAATGAGATTGTTTCTAATTGAAATAAAACCCCCCGTTAAGTATTTATAGGAATAAATTAGAAAACTTTTAATGCTCTTGTAAAAAATGATGCATTAAAAAACATTTTTAGCGGGTGAAGAAAAGGTTGCAAGGGAAATCTTGGCTTGGAGGTGATGATGGAAGCCAGAGTCTAACTTGCTTGAAAAGATTAATATACAATAAGATATTCTGTCTGCAACTCTTTTTTCCCTTGCATCGAGCCACCTCCTTGGAAAGTTAGCTCAGGCTATTTCACAGGCTCATGCGGTACCTGAATGGTGAAGCCATTCCTCTATTGAATAAGGATGTAGATTTCCCCCCTTCATTTTTTCTAGATAGTAACATGTATGGCTTGGGGATAGCAGATCTCCAAATGTTTCACCACCAAATAATCTTTCAGTTACCTCTATCCACTACTACAGTCATGGGGTTGGAAAGATTTTGTTGTTGTTGTTTGTAAAACTACATTGATTAATTTTTTTAAATTAAGGACACTTTGTATCTACTTTATTTCATTTGTTGTCTTTCTGTCCTGACATGAGAGCAAGGATTTTTGTTTGTTTTATTCACCAAGGTACTCTCAGCCCTAGAACCCTACTTTGTACATAATAAGTATTCAATAAATATCTCTCTATATAAAAGCCTACGTGACCGTCCGACCATTGGACCATCGGACTGGTAGCTATGACGTGCACTGACCACCAGAGGGCAGACACTCAACACAGGAGCTGCCGAGCTGCAGTGACTTGCCAGCTGCGGTTCTCGGGTAATGCACCCGGAACCCAGAGAGGAGGGAGCCTGATTCCAGGGCGAGTCACCCAAGAACTGCCCTCTGGCAATCCGAAACCCCTCGGGGATGTTGGAGAGCTGGTTTTGGCCTGATCCCCGCAGGCCAGGCCAAGGGACCCCACTGGTGCACAAATCCGTGCACTGGGCCTTTAGTTTATTGAATGAATGAACTAAAGCTCAGAGGACTTAGTAACTTTCTCAGGAATAAGAAAGTTGGCACTTTATTTTAAGACAAGTGGCCTGGTGAACGAAATTTGTGCACAGACGCGGGGGGGGGGGGTTCCCTCATGCTGGGGTCCAACCCCAGCAGGTCCAGGGGTCCCCAAAGGTGTGGACGGAGTCGGCAAAGAAGGAATGACACGGAGACAGCGTTCAGTTGATCAGCAGCCTAGCCAGGATCTCTAGCCAGGAACTCCAGCCAAGTTCTGGTCAGGATCTCCAGCGAAGTTCTGGTCAAGTTCTCGTGTTTATTGTCTTGTTACATCTGTATTTATACCAGTTGATTTTAATCCTGTCAATTTCTATTGCAAAGGTTAGGGCGTTTCTTATCTCCATTCCAGGGAGTAAAGATTATGTAGCTTAAGCGTGATTGTTTGTAGTTAAAGTGATTAACTACCCGCCTGGCACTTAGTTAAGGGGTTGTATCCCCTCCCTAACCTCAGGGAAAAATCCCCACCTGGGGAAACAACCTTTCTCGGAGAGATGACCTTGGTTAAAACACATGGCGCTAAGGAGAGCAAACATATTAAGAACAATATGCTATATATGCCAGGTCCCTTGAAACATATGCTGTGCAGATGTTTCTTTCCTGCAGCGACTGTGTCAAGCAGCAAGGATGGACTGGCTTCCGGCACCCTCAGCCCAGCCTGCACCCTCTCCAATCAGGGATCCCTTGGGGGATGTCTGACTGCCGGTTTAGGCCTGATCCCTAAACCAGCAGTCGGACATCCCTCTCGCAATCTGGGACTACTGGCACCTAACTGCTCACCTGTCCGCCTGCCTGATTACCCCTAACTGCCTCTGCCTGCTTGCCTGATTGCCCCTAACCCCTCTTCCTGCCTGCCTGATCACCACTAACTGCCCTCCCCTGCAGGCCTGATCTCGCCTCCAACTGCCCTTCCCTGCCAGCCAATTTGGTTCTGATTGGTCAGTTTCTATGCCAGTCAGCGTCAAAAGCTCCGCCTCCTAGGCAGCCATTGGCTCCTCACAGTTCATCCATATTTGGTTCTGATTGGTCGGTTTCTATGCCAGTCAGTATCTCTGGGCATATCTCCAGGCCTGATCAGAGAGGTGGGGCTGATCAGCAGCCCCCGCGGAGGCCCGGAGAGAAACAGAGGTGTGTCTGCTGGCGAAGCCAAGAGAGAAAGAGAGAGGCAATGGCTGATCAACACCTGCCATGGAGGCTGCGGATCAGACCCTGCCTCTCTCTCCGGGCCTGATCCATAGCCCCCTCGGCAACCCAGCACTGACTGCAAGACTGACTTCTGGTGTTAGGTGGAGCCTTCAGTTGGTTGTTATGGACCCTGGGTTTTTATATATTAGGATAATAAACCCTAGAATCCCAGTGTTGGTACTGGAATAATAACCTCTTAGATGAAAATAATTGTTGGACCAAGTTTTCCTTGTCCCCAAGATTGATTGTTGCTATCACCACCACACTGGCCTCAGGGGAAATGTTCCTTTGTTAATACTGTGGCCTGGCTGTGTGCATGGAATCCTTACTTACAGTATGCTCCTAGTACTGCTAAGGCAAGGTGTTAAGGGGAAAATAAGTCATTAATAAAGGCTGAGGGACAATGCAAGTGAAATAAACAGAGAGTAACATGGAAATAGGTAATTTGAAGAATTTTAGCTTGATCTTCAGGGTGGATGGCCCAGTTTTGTGAATGTGCAATCATGAGGGTTCCTATTAATCTCTCTTTGCCTCCTCCCACTTTCTGAAAGGTACTCCATGATTCATCAATAACCATTTAATTAAGAAGGCCATATCCTGCCTGCCCAGTGTGGTTCAGTTGGTTGAATGTTGTTCCATGCACCAAGACGTCACCAGTTCAATTCCTGGTCAGGGCACATGCCCTGGTTGCAGGCTTGATCTCCAGTAGGGTGTGTGCAGGAGGCAGTTGATGGATGTTTCTCTCTTCCCCTCTCCCTTCTTCTCTCTCTAAAGTCAAACCAAAACATATTTAAAAAATAAAAATAAAAAAGAGGGCCTGCTTTTTAGTTAGTTCCTAATTGTGGAAGGCAATAAAGCGTTGTTATATATTGGGCCCTTTAAACTACAAGCAAGTACATAAATAATTATAATATGAATGACAGTAACATAGGTGATGTATTAGTCTGCATAGTATATAGGCAATGCTGCAGTAACAAATAAGCCACAAAACTCTCAATGACAATGCAGTAAGAGTTTATTTCTCCCTCAGGTCACAATCCACTGTGAGCTGGCTGACCCTCCTCTGTCTTGTAGATATGCCATCTAGAATATGTGGCTTCCAGGGTCATTGCAACAGGGAAAGAGAGAAATGGAGGAGGCGTTCTACTTCTTAAATACATTGCTCTGGAAGTGGTACTGAACACTTGTGCTGAAGTAAGACATAACTAGGCACATGGCTCTAAGCTGCAAGGGAGGCTGGGAAATGTACAGGAACACATGGATGTTTGGGGAACATAAACTATCTCTTCTATAAGTAAATTCAGAACAATCAGGAAGGTCCAAGGCAGCTGCATAGGGAAGAAAGGGAGGGGGAGAAGTGGTACCAAAAGTATATTTTGCTTATTTCATAGTTTTCCCAAAGTCAGACAATCAATCTGAAATTTATCTGCACAATCTCTTCAGAATCCAATGCCGTAAAGCCATTTACAAATTACTTTAATATGTGAATTGAGGCTTTTCCCCATTAACAAGTGTGCAATTATTTTACCTGGGGCCCTTTGGAGACAGTATACTCTTGGTTTTTTTACATATTTATTATCTTTGTCTCATTATGTACTATATTATTAATAATTCTATAAGTGAGAAATTTGGGTCCACAATATTTTTAAATACTTTGAGCTCTTTAGCATTCTTCAAGTTACATTAAATAGGCCTGACCAGTGTGGCTCAGTGGTTGAGCATCAGCCCATGAACCAGGAAGTCATGATCTGATTCCGGCAGCTGATTGATGTTGATGTTTTTCTCTTATCAATGTTTCTATCTCTCTATCCCTCTCCCTTCTTCTCTCTAAAATCAATAAAAATATATTTTTAAAAATTACAACAAATAGGATATTGTTTTGTTCTCTTCCTCAGATGGGGTTTGAGTAGAAGTCATCTAATATAACCATATTTATTAATTTGAATTCTCTTTAAATTAATCAGCTGGTATTTGTTAGTTCTTTTTCTAGGAAGAGACTCCAAGAACTTTCTAAGCCTAAAAAACAGTGGGGAACCCCAGATAGGTAAGGAAATATTATATAGTTTTGCTTCTGATGACGTATTCCTTACATTAAAGAGTAAGTATTCTTACCTGCCCAAGAACCCCGCCTCCTAGGTGTATCCACCGCTCTTTTCAATTGGATCCATTGGACCCATACTATCATCTCAATTGAGTCAACATATGGAAGGCAAACCCCCTAAATCAGTGGTTTTCAGACTTATCTGCACATTAGAATCACCTGTAGACAAAAGACTTAGACAAAAGGAGATAGGCCAATAGCCAACAAGCACATGAAAAGATGGTCAATATTATTAGTTACCCAGGAAATGCAAATCAGCGCAATCATAACATTTCACATGAACTGCAATGGCTAAAATAAAAAAGACTGAACATAAAAAGTTTTGGAGAGATGTGATTACTAGAGGGACGAATATATATATCTGCACAAAGACTTCTACATGAATGGTCACAGCCACTTCATAATAGCATCGATCTCAAAACAACTCAAATGTCCTTCAATAAGTGAAAAGACAAAGAATTTGTGGCATATTCTCACAATAGAAAAGTAATGATAAAAATAACCTCACAACACATACAACATTGTGGGTGGTGGTGATATTAACCAATGTGATTGTTTGATATTGTATAATGAAATGTGTAAATATTTGGAAGATCTGCATAACTTGGTGATATGATACTTTTCAAATGACCAAGGAATGATATTTCAATATCTTGAGCTGCTATCATTATTGTTATTTCTGCTATTTCCTAGAGAAATAAAGCAAAACAAAACTTAAAAAAAATTAAAAAAGTGAATTGATGTTTGGGTCCCAGACTTGCTTGGACTGGGGTGCAGCATAGGTGTCGGGACTGAGCTCCCAGGTAATTCTCGTAGGCAAAAGGCTTGAGAACCACCATCCCTGGGTGCTACTCCATACGCCTTTGAAACTCTTGTGCCCATCCTCCAGGTTGCTGCTCTAACAGCTGGTCCTGCTGTCTCTACGCCTTTGTCCAGAGCACACCTGTTCTCTGGGTCCCCAACAGGCTGAACCCACTGTCTTTCCATCCTTAGCCACATGACTCCCCCTTTCCTTTGCTGACTCTGAAGAAAGCCTGACTTCCACCCCTCCTTTTTTTTTCTGAGCTCCTATTGCTTTTGACAAAATTAATAGACTTTATTTTAAAATTAGTTTTAGCTTTACAGGAAAATTGAGCAAAAGTACAGGGAGAGTTTCTATATTACCACCCACTCCTCTAGTTTCCACTATTATTAACATCTTGCATTAGTGTGGTACATTTGTTACAACTGATAAACAAATGCTGACATTATTATTAACTAATAACATTAGGGTTCACTTTTAAGTTGTACAGTTCTATGGGTTTTGACAAGTGCATATTGTCATGTACCCACCATTGCAGCATTATACAGAATAGTTTCACTGCTCTAAGAATTACCTGTGCTCCATCTATTCATTTCTTTCATTCTCTCTCCCCTCTCCAAACCCCTGGCAAACACTGATCTTGTTTCCTGTATGTATAGTTTTGCCTTTTCCAGAATGTTATAATTATAACCAAACAGTGTGTAACCTTTTCTGACTGGCTTCTTTCACTTAGCAATAGGCATTTAAAGTTCCTCCATGTCTTTTTATGCCTTGATATTTATTTTTAGTGCTAATATTCCATTGCTTTGATGTACCAAAACATATCCATTCATCTATTGAAGGACATATTGGTTGCTTCCAATTTTTGGCAATTATGAATGAAGCTGCTATAAACATTTGTGTGCAGGTTTTTTGTATATATACATTTTCAACTCATTTAGCTAAATACCTAGGAGTGCAACTGCTGGATCATATGGTAAGAATATCTTCAGCTTCGGAAGAAACTGCCAAACTTTCTTCCAATATGTCTGTGCCATGTCCTCCAGCAATTAATGAAAATCCCTGTCCCTCCATATCTTCACCAGTATTTGGTGTTGTTAGTCTCTTGTATTTTAGCCCTTCTGATAGGTGTGTAATAACATCTCGTTGTTTTATTTGCAATTCATAATGAGATGTTAACATACTTCATATGTTTATTTGCCATCTTTATATCTTCTTTGGTAAAGTGTCTGTTCATATCTTTTGCCCACTTTTAAAAAAATATGTTTTTATTGATTCTTCTTTTATAGAGAGAGGAAGGGAGAGGGAGAGAGAGAGAGAGAGAGAAGCATTGATGTGAGAGAGAAATATCTACTGGCTGCCTCATGCACAATGCACACCCCCTACTGGGGATCCTGCAACCTGGGCATGTGCCCTGACTGGGAATCGAACCAGCACCTTCTGGGTGCATAGGATGACGCTCAACCAACTGAGCCACATTGGCCAGGGCTTGCCCACTTTTTAATTGGGATGTTTGTTTTCTATTGCTGAATTTTAAGAGTTCTTTTGTATTTTTTGAATACAAGTGCTTTTATCAGAGCATTCAGCTGTTGACTGAATGTTTATGTCCTCTCAAAATTCATATTTTGAAATCTAATCCCCAATGTGATAGTATTTGGAGGTGAGAGCCTTTGAGAGGTGATTAAATCATGAGGGTGGAGTCCTCATGAATGGGACTAGTGCCCTTATAAAAGAGGGTCCAGAGAGGTCCCTCACCACTTCCACCAACCGAGAACACAAGCTTCTGCTTTAGCTTCTTATCTCCCCAATGTCATTCTCTCCTCTCTGCTCTGTTTCACATCACCATTAGGTGAGTTTCCAGGTTTCACCATTTGTTCACTCATCAAACCAGGATTGAGCATCTACGGTGTGCAGCACTAAACTATGCAAGGGGAAATCTCCAAAAGATTAAGACACGATCTCTCTGCTGGAAAAATATATAGGCTGGAGGAGAAGGTGCTCCTTGTCAAAATTGTGGAGGGCCATGTAAACCACTGTAAGGAGCTGGGGCTTTATTCTAAAGCAAATGGAAACCTTTGAGGTATCTCAAACAAGAGGATGACTTGGTCAGATTGGAGTTGAGGAAGGTCACTCTGGCAATGGTGCCTCCTGCACACCCCACACTGGGGATCGTGCAGGCAACCTGAGCATGTGCCCTGATCGGGAATTGAACCATGACCTCCTGGTTCATAGGTCGATGATGTCCAATCACTGAGCCATGCCAGCCGGGCATTACTCTTATTTTTTTTACACCTGGTACAGTTCATCACCCAAAGTGAGAGCACAGTGTAGAGAAGTGGCATGACCATTTTACGTCAACCTGACTATAAGTTGCAGTGTTAATTACATTATGGCAGACACAGAACTGTCTACCTCTGATCGGTTCATTTTTGGTCACTACATTTTAAGACAGCAGATAAAACAGTCTGATTTTCTTTTCATTTCAACTGACATGAGTAGTTTATCCACTTCTGATGCCTGGGGTAATTCTTAAACTGAAGTAACACCAATAGAGAGGCAGCCTAAGATGTCATTAACAGTGAATTTCTTTCCATTTTATTTTTCTGCTTTTTAACAGAAAGCTGTCTTGGGGAAATCAAGATCCTATTCGCCCTATTAGCCATAGTGCTTTGAAGAGTCAGCTGACCAAAAGACTCGAGAGCCTTGCCAAGCCCAAGAAGGTTTCCTTCAGATATGTACCTAACAGGTTAGTATTGCATGTTAGCAGGTTATTTTATCAGGAGTCTCTAGGAAAATGAACACTGAACCCAGCCCTTTTATCTAAAGCCATGAACAGTCTTGTAGTCAAAATTTATTGAGGATTAGGGATTTTATATGTTTCCAATCTCATGCTACAGTACAACTTTTCCAGAGCAGGATCTGATATTTAGCTATTGCAGACATGTATTATATCTTATAATGTTTTGACTTACCAGAATGTTGAATAATTGAGTTATGTCTCTGGTGTCCTCTCATCTTCCTTTTTGTATCTCTCATCTCTCATCCGCTGCCTGGGCCTCTGCCCTTTGCAAAACATCTTGCTTTTGTGCTGCTCATTGGCTGCCTAATAACTCCTTCCTCCCACTCCTTTTCTGACTCTGATCTCTCTGAAGTGCCCCGTTGTTCAAAACCATCCCTTCCTTCTCTAGCTCCGATTGATTCCCAAACAGAACTGCCATTTCCTGCCAAAGGCTAGTCCCAGGTAAGTGCAGGAGGTTCCTCCTGTGTGAGTTTGGCTGCGCATGTGGTGAGGGTGGCCGAGTCAGTGCAGCTAGGCAGTGGAGCGTGGGCAGGACAGCCAGAAGCCCTCTGAAAGCAGAAGTGTGTATGGACAGGTCTCAAGGCTGGATGGTCACAAGCAAAGGAGGGAGATACAGGCTTACACACATACCCAGGCCTACAGTAGCAACCAGCAGGCAGCCTGGGCAGATGGGGCAGACCCACACCATGAATATGTTAACGAAGCAGAGGCTTTTTGGAAAATAACAGAAGCAGAAGTGGGACTGCAATCTGAGTTAACACCAGGGACAAAGTAGCCAATATCACTTCCTTTCCCACTGATGAAGAACAATATTACTATTTATCCCAAATAGTATTTAAACAATCTTAGTTTATAAAACCTAATAATGATGAAATAATCTACATACCATGATCAAGTAGAATTTATTCCTAAACTCAGAGTTCTTTTTTTCACAAAGAAAAACATCAATACAATTCTACTAACTAAAGATATAGTAAAAATATTTAAATTATTTATGTAGATGTTAAATAAATTATTTTGTTTTAAAACAGCAAATTTTCTCTTTTAATTAGTCTATATTCGGGTCTATTTAAAATTTATTTATTGTGGTACATTTTCTGCTAGGAATAGGGTATTAGAAGGCGGCTGAAAACTCGATGGCTGTAACCATTTCTAATTTCTTCCCATGTCGATAATAGCTCAGCAGTAAAGAAATAAACTGTCATACCCACTCCCCTAGACCTGGGGGTATCAATGTTTGAATTCAAGCGATAATTTGAATTCATGCTTATTTCACTCACTTCTTTTCTCTCCACAACGTGCAGGGCTCAATATTACTACAACTGCGGCAGAGGGTCTTCAGTCTGGGATATCCCTTTTCCTGTACTGATGAGAAGACCTTCCAAAAGGATCCAGAGGCTGTCACAGCCCAACAGATTCGGGACAACACAGCTAATAAATAGGTAGAGTACCCGAGACCCTCTGTCTATTCTAATCTAACTTGGTTAAACGTTGTTCTTATTGTAGTGGATGCAGGTCCTTGGTGTTTCAAAGGATCTGGATACAAAATCAAATATTTTCAGCAACTGTGGGTCATCAGAAGATCTTCATCAATAATTACATCTGACTCATATGGTAAAGCTAAAATTCACACTAAACTTAACCATTGTCTGCCAATTAAAAGGAAATATACAAGTGAAGCATTATAGGATTTTGCAATTTTTAAAACTTTGGGATTCTCTCATGCCCCTGTGACTTGGCACATGATCCGCCTTTTGCTTTGAATGCTGACTTTCTCCTGTCTTTAGAAGACAGCTTCGTGATATCTTCCACAAGGGAGCTAAGATTGTGACGTGGTTGTTGGAAAATTTTAGGTTACATTAGTGCAATATTACAGTGTATAATTACAGGAAGGTGATAGAACTAATGTGCACTACGGTAGTCAGAACACATTAGGTATATGTGTCCAATTATGGATGCTATGCCTTAGGGTTGGGGGGCTGGGTGAAAAAGATTAACAGGTACTAATTGGTAGTCACAAAATAGTCCTGGGAATGTAACATACAGCATAGGGAGTATAGTCAATAACATTGCAATAATTGTGCATGGTGCCAGGTGGGTACTTGAAGTATCAGAGGGATCACCTTGCAAAGGATATGATTGTCTAACCACTATGCTGTACACCTGAAACTAATATTGAATGTAAAACTGTAATTGAAAAATAAAAAGGAAACATAATAAATTTGAGAATGTCCAGAAGGAGATAAATGAGGCGTTGAGCTTCTGAAAACTATGTTATATGAAAAATAGTTCGGAGAAATGACATGTTTAGCTTAGAGAAGAGACCATGGAAGGAGTGATGGTTCTGTGTGAAAGGTCAGCACCTGAAAGAGGCAGAGGAGGTGGAAGTAACATTACTTTCTGTTGATCCTAGAATAGAGTAGCAGACGTCAGCTAAGTGTAGGAAAACCTTCCTGAGGAGCTATCCAGTAGTGGAAAGTTTTACCTGGAAAACTCAACTGTCATCTCCACTCCAATTCCTGAACGTGTTCAAGCGTAGGCTACAACGATCGATCACTCTATGTTGGTTTTAATAAAGACTCCCGCAGTTAGAGAGGTTGAAATGGACAACTTGTCTTTTTCCTTCATAGAATCCAGCAAAAGAGGCTCAAGTCCTCCCACAAAATTTCTTCGTTTGCTTATTTATCAGTTCATTTGACAAAATCTGCTAATTTAGTTAAAATATATATGTAATTTGTAGTTATATATCTACATTTATAAACCAGAGGAATACTTTCTTTATCTGTCACCACTCTAATATATATATGTGATTTCAGGAAGCAAGGGAATTGAACCAGAACCTCCTTGGTTCATAGGTCGATGCTCAACCACTGAACACATCGGCTGGGCTGTCACTACTTTTTGAGACTCCTGAGTTTGATGTTTCATATAAGTAAAACCTCCTTGAGTGTTAAAATTTCCTGTATTTTAAAAAGTTTATGGCCCTAGCTGGTTTTGCTCAGTGGATAGAGTGTAGGCCTGCAGACTGAATGGTCCCAGGTTCGATTCCAGTCAAGGGCACATGCCAGGGTTGTGGGCTTGATCCCCAAGAGGGGGCATGCAGGAGGCAGCCGATCAATGATTCTCTCTCTCTCTCTCTCTCTCTCTCTCTCTCCCTCTCTCTCTCTCTCTCTCTCTCTCCCTTTCCCTTCCACTCTGAAATCAATAGAAAAATAGATTAAAAAAAAGTTTATGTCTCCCCACTCTCCTAAGCAAATTCTTCTGCTACTGAACAATATGTAAGCATTGTTCACTGGCACTGACTTGAGATCTTTATTATGAACACCAACTACAACATAATACTTTAATACAGAAAACTTCTTAGGAATTGTCTGAGTATGAAGCACAGTTTTTCTTTAAGTGAAGTAGTCTGACCTCAGTGCTTTTAGTTTAGGAGATATTTGCCTCTCGGAGTTTTCCAGTCATTTCTCTTTTTACTGGGGGAATAGTCTTTAACCAGGCTCTTTTCTGATATTCTGTGCACTGCAAACAGATAAGCAAGCTTGTCAGAATTGTGTGAGGGAAGGAGAGCAAATGCTTAGTGAAAATACAGAGGAAATCTTAAGGAATCCACATAATACTATTACAATGAATAATAATGTTAAAACTGCAAGTCTTAAGCAACCAGTGGATCATGAGATTAATTCCATCTTTTCTTTTAATGAAATCAAATGAAATTTATAAATCAGAATACATTGCCTAGGACAAGCATTGTTTCATGATAATTTTGTTTCAGATATAGAGATTTACATCTACTGTATCACAATATAAAATGTACTTCTTACTGTAGATCAAAAATTTCTAGAAACACCAGTCTGGTAGAAAGAGCACTAATGATTATGGGAAAAGATGTTCCATAGAACATCTTTTATATATTAGAAACAATATATATAATTGTGGGAGGTTGATTATAGCCATCAAAAATGCAGTTATTGTTCCTCTAATGTTAATATTTTACATTCCATTTGCGTATAGGTCCCTCAGTGATTACTTAACAAGAGGTTCTCTTCCAGTCTGTGCTCCTTCTCCCCGGATATTACGACTCTCAATAGCCAAAGGCCTCAGTCCAGACTATATTCCTCCAAAAGATGTAAGTGGGTCCATGGGAAAGAACCATTTCCTGATTGACTTTGTACCATGAAACACGTTTGTAACTGTAACATGCTCCCCTTTTATTTCTAGGTGTGTGTTTTCATATTCTTCTCTCATCAAATGAACTTTTCTGGCTGCCTCCCTGTGCCTTATGCATCAGTCGGATTTGATCAGAAAAGCAGAACCACTATGAGTAATACAGAATTAGACCTTAAGCAATAAGGATAGAGAAGCAGATAGAGAAATCTATGAAAGGCTATTATGCCACCTGGATCTTGGGTCTGGTTATAGATCTGGAAGCAATGAGAGATAGAGGTAGGTCAGCAGTTCCCTGAAAGGTTTTTACTTCAGGTGACACCATTATAGGTTCTACAAGCAAGGGGGAGTCTAACCTTCTTAGGCAGGGGAGGAAGGGCTGATTCTATTGGTAAGGAAGGCTCAGTGGTATTTAGGGGTTTCAAACCCCCAGCCTCATTGGACTCTGCACATATGTCCCTATTCCAATGTTCAAGGTTCCATTTCTTCCCGATCATTACCTTAACTTTAATATGGGAGACCATACAAGTTTGGGAATTCAATTTGCACTGTAATTCACCCATGTGTAGAAGTAGACTTTGAGTTTGATTTTCAGCCATGTAACCAGAGAAGATAGGGTTTTTATTAAGTAAGCCGTAGAAACGTTCTGGTCACTTACCCACACCTTCAGGTGGGAATTTAAAGGCTTCAGCTGATCATCTCTTTCCTCAAGTGCACTTAGAAGCAACCAACCGACCCCACTATACTTTTTTATTTTACTAAAATGGTCTCTGCTGCGTGGTCACTCAAAGTCTTGCTTTCTGTTTTGCCACCACATGCCATGGACTACTAGTGTCTTTTTTTTTTTTAAATCACTGGCAAGAGGTTTTAATACCTTTCAATCTAATCAGCTCAGAAAACAAATGACAGATTATCTAAAACTGATGCAGAGAACCCATCTTTAAAGTTCTGATCTGGTTACCTGTTGCTTGGTGACATAAGACCACCGCCATTTCATTGCACTCAAGGATTTGATGGGTCAGAAGTTCTGACAGGGCAAGCAGGCTCGTCTCTGCTCCGTGATGTCTGGAGTCTCAGCTGGGATATTTCTAATGGCTCGAGTGCCTGAAGTGGTCGGGGCTGGAAACATCTGAAGGCTCCTTCACACCTGTCTTAGTCATCTCAAGCTGCTATGACAAAATGCCCGAGGCTGGGGGGCTTAAACAACAGTTCTGGAGGCTGAGAAATCCAAGATCAAGGTGCCAGTGGATTCTCTTCTTGACGAGGGCCCTTCCTTAGGGGTAACAGCCACCTTTTGAGCACGCGGAGAGTTCTGATCTCTCTTCTTCCTCTTAGAAGGACCTTAAACCCATTATGAGGGCTCTACCCTCAAGACCTTATCTAAACCTAATTATCTTCTAAAGACCCCACTTCTAGTAGCATCACAGTTGAGGGTAAGGTTTCAATTGAATTCAGGGTAGGGGGGAGGACATAAACATTTAGTCAGTAAGAATACATATTTGGCCCAGCCCGTGTGGCTCAGTTGGTTGAGCATCATCCCATGAACCAGGAGGTCACAGTTCAATTCCCAGTCAGGGAACATGCCTGGGATGCGGGCTTGATCCCCAGTAGGGGGCGTGCAGGAGGCAGCTGATCAGTGATTCTCTCTTGCTGATGTTTCTCTCTCTCCCTCTCCCTTCCTCTGTGAAATCAATTTAAAAAAAATTTAAAAAAGAATACCTATTTGTGGTACCTAGGCTGGAATGACTTTAAGGCTAGATGCAGTTGGGAATCCTATATAATAAAAGCCTAGGTGGTGCAACACCCTCAGGCAATGTCATCACAAGATGGCCGCCCTCACATTGTCACAAGATGACTGCCATAAGATGGCTACCACAAGATGGCCGGCAGGGGAGGACAGTTGTGGGTGATCAGGCCGGCAGGAGGAAGTGGTTAGGGGAAATCAGGCAGGCAGGCAAGCGAGCTGTTAGGAGCCAGCAGTCCTGGATTGTGAAAGGGATCCCAGATTGGAGAGGGTGCAGGCCGGGCTGAGGGACACCCCCTGCCTCCCCTCCCCACCCTGTGCCTGAATTTTGTGCACCAGTCCTCTAGTATATACAGAAGCACCTTCATATGGTCTCTCCACGTGGCTCAGACCTCTCAGCATAGCAGCTATATTCTGAGAAGGAATAGCCTAACCTGGAATTCCCAAGGGTGAGCATTCCAAAAGAACCAGGTGGGAGCTGCATGGTTTCTTTATGATTTGGCCTTTCGAGACACATGATGTCACTGTAGTCATACTCTGTTGATTGATGCAGTTACAAGTCTGGCCAGATTCAAGGGGGCAGGGACACAAACCCCACCTTTCCATGAGAGAGGTGGAAAGGAATTTACAGCGTTGTAGGGAAAAAACCCTGCCACACCCAATGATGTGAGTCTTTTGGTATCCTTCAGCATGGTTTGTGTATGCAGAAAAGAATGTTCAGAGGTCTGCTCTTGACTTAAATAATTAATAGTTAATTTTTAAAATTCCATATCTTAAAAAATCTATTTCTTTCTTAGGCTATACATTTAAGTTTAGCTGGGAAGTTTTATTATTCTGTTTCTAATTCTAGCAGTTTTTAACAATTACTTTAACGCACGTCCTGAGTGTTGATT